TTTTGCTTTTGTTTCCCTTGTCTTTGGAGTCAAATTCCCAAATACCAATGTCCAGAAGCTTAATACCTGTTTTCTTTTATGTGTTTTATTGTTTCAGGTCTTATGTTCAAGTCTTTAATCCATTCTGAGTTAATTTTTGACTGTGGTATAAAATAGTAATCTAGTTTCATGCTTTTGCATATGGCTATTCAATTTTCCCAACACCAAAGGTTATATACTTCTATGAATTTGTCTATTTCTTCTAGGTTGTTCAATTTGATGGTGGATAGCCTTTTATAGTATTCTTTTAGGATTTGTTGTATTTCTGTGGTAGCCATTGTTACTTCTCTTTCAGTTCTGAGTTTACTTATTTGTCTTCTCTTTTTTCCTTACTGAATCTAGCTAAAGGTTTGTCAATTTTGTTTATCTTTTCACAGAACCAGCTTTGTTTAATTAATTTTTTCTATTATCTTTTTATTCTCCATTATTTCTGCTATAATTTTTATTTCCTTCCTTCTACTGACTTTGGGCTTCATGTGTTCTTTTTCTAGTTTTTCTTTTTTTTAAAACAAAAGCCAAGTTTATTTGTTCATGTCTTACATTTGAAGTACTCCTCGATGACATCCTTGGCCTGAGATTCTTTGCCGTAGTCCTTAACCACCACACAACTGCAGCCAACCGCTAGGGGTTTCTCTCTGTGTCACTTTTACAGAGGCCTACTCATTCCCCTAGTTTCTTGCTGTCATCAACCTTAATTAGGTGGATTTGGCCTTCAGCACAAAGGACCTCCATCAACTGAACATATAGGGACTCATCACAGTCAGATGCAAGCACACAAAGGAGGGCTTAGAGCTTATCTAAGGCTTTGCAGCTTCGCGGATTCCATGTGGTAGGCCATGGTGGATGAGGGCGGTCTTCGGCACCTCTTATAAAGCCATGTTAACGCCCATTACACCTCCAGCAGCAGTGCCTTCCTCAGCCTTGGGCGAGGGATACGGATGGAGCCAGATCTTGAAAACACCCAAGCCTCTGCCTCCGTGCTGAAAAGGGAAAGAGCCTTTTCCTAGTGTTTTAAAGTGTAATGTTAGTTTGAGATTTTTCTCTTTTCTTGGGATAGGCCTATATTCCTATAAACTTCCAACTTAGTACCACTTTGCTGCATTCCAAATATTTTAGTATGTTGTATTTTCATTTTCATTTCTTTATGTGTTTCTTCTTTCTTCATTGATACAATAGATGTTCAATAGCATATTATTTAATTTGTGATATTTGTGATTTTCCCCTCCAGCTTTATTCTTGTACTTGATTCCTAGTTTCATACCATTGTGGTTGGAAAAGATGCTTGATATAATTTCAGTCTTCTTAAATTCATTAAGGTTTGTTTTGTGTCCCAACCTATGGTCTCCCCTTGAGAATGTTTCATGTATACTTGAGCAGAATGTATAGTCTGTCACTTTGGATGGAAAGTTCTATATTAAGTCCATCTGGTCCAATGTCGTTTAAGGTTGATGTTTCTTTATTGACTTTCTGTCTGGATGATCTATCAATTGGTACACATGGATGTTAAGGTCTCCTACTATTATTGCGTGGCTATTTCTCTCTTTAGATCTGTTAATAATTGCTTTATATTTTTTGGTGCTCCTAGGTTGGGTGCATATATATTACTAAATGTTATGTCTTCTTGGTGGATCGTCACCTTTATCATTATAAAGCGTCCATCTTTGTCTCGTTACCTTTTTTTGTTGTGAAATCTATTTTGTCTGATGTACCTATGGCTACATCCACTTTCCTCTAGACACAATTTGCTTGGAGTTATCATATTCTATCCCTTCACTATGAACCTGTTTGTCTGTGTTGCTGAGATGCATATCCTGAGGGCAGCATATAGTTGGGTCTCTTTTAATCCATTCAATTACTCTGTGCCTTTTAATTAGTGAGTTCAGTCCATTAACATTTAAGGTGGTTATTGACATAAGAGGACTTACTACTTCCATTTTCTTTTTGTTTTCTGGTTGCTCTGTATCTCCAATATTTTTTCCTTTGTATTTGTTTATTTTAGTTTGGTGGTTTTATGTTTTTTTCTATTTCTTCTTTTTTTATATATCTTCATTCACCTATATGTTTCATCCTTTTTCTCCGTACCTTTTATTTGGTTGTCACAATTTATCCCTTTTGATGTTGTACATTCATTACCAAACGACAGTAGCCGTAGTTATTTTTAATGCTTTTTTTCACCATTAATCATAGGGCATTATGATTAATAACTTATTATGAAACTAGAGTTGCAATTTTCTGTTTCTGTCACCTAACTCAGTTTGTTTACTTTTGTCTTATTGATTCAGGTAAAAGCTTCTTTCAACATTTCTTGAAAGCAGGTCTTATGGTGATAAGTTCCTTTGGTTATTGTCTGGAAATAAGCCTTTATTTCCCCCTTCACAACTAAAGGATAACTTGGCTGGACATATTGTTGGCTGGTGGTTTCTTTCAATATTTTGAATATATTATTCCACTTCATCCTGGCCTATAGGGTTTCTGATGAGAAATCTGATGATAATCTGATGGGGCTCCTTTGTAGGTTACTGCCTCCCCTGCACCCTCACCCCCAGCTTCTTGAGAATTCTTTATCATTAACTTTTGACAGTTTTAATATATGTCTTGGAGATCTTATGTTGAGATAATTAGGTGTTCTGGTAGCTTTTTGTACTTTAATATCCAGTTCCTTCTCTAGTTTTGGCAAGTTCTCAATAATTTCTTTTAATAGGTTTTCTGTTCCCTTCTCCCTCTCTTCTCCTTCTGGGATATCCTTTATCCTTATTTGTTCTTTGTAATGGAGTCAGATAATCCTGATAGAGTTCTTTTACTTCTAAAAAAATCTTAGTTCTCCCTCCTCTTCCACTCAAATCATTTCTAGAGTTTACTAACTTTCCTCTATCTGCTCCGCTCTACTTCCAAGGCTGACTCATTATTTTTCTGAGTTCTTCAAATCCAAAATTTTTTTGGTTCTTATACTTTCAATCTCTTTGATAAAGTACTCTTTGCATTTTTATTCCTGAGTTCACTGAACAGCCTGAGTTTTCCTGCATCTTGAGTTTCTTCATGGCCGTTCTTTTGAATTCTTTATCATTTAGATCACAATCTTTCATGACTTTGATTTCTAGAGAACTGTCATTTTCTGTTACTGTGTTACCTTGGTTGTTCATGGTGCTTGATGTGTTGTTATTCTGCTGGCACATTTGAAGTAATGGACACTTTCCTTATTTAGGAAACATTTTAACAATTCAG